TTACGACAAAGTAATAATCGCAAAACTACAATATTAAAGAAATATATTTTAGATAATGAAATCTGGGTTTTCAGGTTTGGCCTTTAAAGAAGAACATGTTCATTTAATTGAAAATAAGTAGCTTCGCGTAATTTTCTTCGAATTTCCTGCGCGTGTTTTGCTCAAGTATTTCATGATATACGTAGTGTGAAGTGAACTGGGGCGGGTGATTACAAATTTTTACATTCCCTACTGTTCCTAATAATCAGGAATGTACAGTTAAAACATCCTCGAAAAAACAAAAAAAGACAAAAGTGAGTTTCTGCTTTGATAACAGACAATGTATTTTATTATTATTTGAGGTCTACTGTGGCCATTTATTAAAATGTACGAGTACTACCATCTTCATAAATCGCTATAGAAACTTCTAAACATTTTCCTTTCATTATCAGATGCTTTATCTGCAAACTCATTCACATTTTCCTAATTTTTGCAACCATACAAACAAACTACCAAACAGGACATTCCTCTTACCATAAATTGTCATTTACATGCATTGCCTGAACTTGATGAAAAAACCTTCTTCATAATATACAGGTGTCAATTTAGTGGTCTATCAGATAAGGCTATTTTCAGAAGAAAATTCCTTTTCCTTTTTTTTCAAAAAACGATATACAGGTGCGATTCTCTTACAGGTGAATGGTAATCGTCGCGCAAACAAAGGTTGCGCCTTGCACTAAAAATGTGGAATCTGAATATATCTACGTTCACAGTTTCGAAAAATATTCGTTGAGTTTGCTACTTCGCGCCATTAAATGTTCAACAATTTGCCGTTCAAACTGCTCCTGAATTGTGCAAGACCTGTGAAGTTTTACATCACTGCGGCGCCATAACATTTAAGTTCAGCGCGCAACGGAAGGACGCATTGGCTCAGAATATCTGCACTTGGATTTGCGTTAATTTTTGCATTTCACTTTGATACAACGCTCAGAATATAACATGCTAATTGCATAAGAACTTATACTATTACAGATTTACGAAAGTATCATTCGCAGTGGCGTATGCATTCACTGTTCCAAAGGATTTTGCACTTCTCAATTTGAAAAATCTGCGTTTATTATTTAACTTTATGAAATGAAAACTGCTATAAAACCGAAGTGAATTGCTTACCTTTATTAATTTAGAAACTAAAGCTACCGAAGCGGGGGAAAATCGTTCTTCTGGAAGATGCTGTTTTTAATATTTTATTGTGTCAAGTATTGTAAAGTAGTATGAGAGCAAATATCAAGTAATTAATATTCCTTACAATCGCAAAACCTTCAACCTAAAAATAGTTCCTCTTTTACTTAGGCCTGCCCATGCCTTGCGGGCCCGAACGTTACGTCCCTGGATTGGGGAATATCAGTTTTGGTTTTGGAGAAAATCGTGTGACTCGTTTAGGCTCTAGCGTTGACCTCAGGCGGAAAGATAGGCGTATTGCTGTCAATCGTGTCAAGGACCCACCAAACGTAGATTCTGACTACGCATCGTGTTAGAGGAAGTAATTTACTGTATACAGGAGAAAGATTTATCCTATTTTGTTTCCGGGACTTTTGGGAGTTCGCAAGTTTTGCAGTCGAAAAATGCGCCCTTTTTTAAGTAAACTTAGCTAGACGAGAAAATTAAGAATATCTATATTCAAAGTGTAACTTTAGAAGGGATTCGAACGAATTCGTTCTGCAATTTTTTAAATCGTTTTACAATTTAACGAAAATCACACCTGTGACTTTTTACTTAGCGATCTTTGGTCTATTGGAAAATAAAATTTAAAGAAATAATTGGCCAACAATGGGTCAAAATAAATAAAATCATTTAAAAATTGAAAATGTAAGGGCTCCATGTAAAGTAGCCTACCATAAAAATTAAAATATTCGTTTCAAATTGGCTTCGTCGGGAGTCGGATCAAATCAGTCGGGATATATCCGTTTAGATTAAAATCCTGTTTTATTTGCTATTATTATTCATAGACAAACAGACTGTTTAACGGGCTGTTTAATAAAGATCAACGTGTTTTCAGTTATAGGGCCTCCCCAGAATGTGTTCTTGCGTTAAAATCTTGTTGAACATATGCAGCATTATATAACTTTCTCTATAGTTCGTGCACGAGGGAGTAAAGCTCATAAACTACATTTTGGTTAGATTCCTGGAATATTAAGATACCTGGCACAATATACACCTTGCTTCTGAACACAACCTAATAGTTCATAAAATCGTAGTCCATAAAAAGGTTCTTTCAAGATTCTCAGCCCGTTCACTTCAAAAGTATGAAATCGCTACGCTTCAGGTGGATTTGGCAGGAATTTGTTCTAATGCCGTGGAATGTAGGATTTTGAGGAT